AAATAGGGGCCTAAGCTGAATTAAATTAGTTTACGCTTTTGGAAAAAGGGTTAGGGTTTTGAGAGAAGAGAAAGAAGAAGAACGTTCAAAATTCGTCGATTTCTTGGTGCTTTGCTTGTGGATTTCATCGGGGGTGATCCCTACAAGGTATGTGAGATCACATAGCGTTGGGTTAGTTCACCCACGCGCCAAGCATGTTTAATTCAGCATATTTTCGTCCTAAAAAGATTGAGAATTTGCTTTCTTGATAGTTGTTCTTGAATTGATTTCGTTCTTGAACATGAGTTGGGATTAAGGAGTTTCTTGATGATCAAGTGTTGTTTCTTTAAGTTGTTGGGTTAGATTTTGTGTATATGATTTGGGTACATGAATCTAAAGTGAATTTGAGAAAAAAAATCGAATCAAAACGATTTAGGATCAGAAAACGAGATCAATAGCTCGTCATAATTTTGCTTGAAGGGAGGTTGGCGCGACGCACCCCCATAACGCCAGGCAGGCTGGGGCGGCGCGTCAGCAGTGTGCCAGATTTGAGCCCCAGTAATTAAGTTGGGGCTGGCGCGGCACGCCCGGGCGCCCAAATCGTCATTTTTCATCAGTTTTCGTCATTTAGCCTATTTAAGTCCTTCTAAAGTTTATTAACACTTCCTATTGATTCTAACTACTCTAAATGACTTCTAAACATCTAGAAATCATCCAAAAACATGAATCATAACCTTGAATCCATAAATTCAAATTCAAGGAAAGTTAAGAGCCAAGTTTAGGAAGTTCTTCGAGTCTTTTCAAAAAGTCTTTTGCAAATGCTTTTAACTTTGTTTTAAGACTTACAGTTCAAGTTGAGTAAAGAGTAAAGAGTAAAGATTGAAGTTCATTTCTTCAAAAGTATAAGGGGACTAAGTATTCCCAAAAAGATTTAAAATGTTTTCACATTTAAATAAGAACGAAAACTGAGATTTTCAAAGAGCCTTCGGGCTAGTTTTCAGAAAAGAGAAATAGCTTTCTAAATGAAGCAAGCAGGGAAACTGAGATTTCTGAGATGGCCTTTGAGCTAAGTTTTTGAGCACTAATCTCAAATCACAGAAGAAGTATGTTTTTAAACATAAAGAACTAAGTATTTTTGGGAGTAGTATTGAGCACCGATATGGGGATGCGAGTTCATATTAACTCAAGTCTCCATAAACTATGTAGCCATCATGGGTAGAAAAGGGTCATACTTTTTAGATGAATCTTTTTTGCATAGACTAGTGGATCCACTTAGTGAGTTAGCTTCCTATATCACGACAAGGTATAGGATAGGCCTCGGCAGGGTGAGGTAAAACGTTGTATCATCACTATAGTTCTTAAGTAATGGTTGTCGGCTAGAGAAACTCCCACAACAGTAGTAGCATGGTTCCTCAAGGAGTTCTGCTTAGTGTAAATGGGGGTATGGGACTTCATTCATGCATTGCACAAGTAGACTTTGAGAGGGAACATGGTTTGTTTTTTTATGATATTATGATTATGAATTAACAACATGTTTTCAATAGTTTTTCTTTATAATGCACTTGTTTTAAACTGTTTTATAATGAAATGAATTTATTTAAGTATTCAAGAGTTGAGAAGAACCAAGGTAAGTGTTTCTTTCATAATCTCTTTCGAGCCTATGTTGTTTTAGCATTCCAACTCGCATACTCGTACATTCAATGTACTGATGCCAGTTGGCCTACATCGTCTTATGATGCAGACACAGGTAACTAGGATCGGCATCCGGCGCATTCGTTGATCCAGTGAGTAGTTCAGAGTCTGTTGGTGAGCCTCTTTGCATTCCAGATGACTCCTTCATATTGCTTTCAGTTTTAGTATTAGTTCATTAGGATGTCGCGGGCCTATCCCGACATCCATCTCAGTTGTTTAGAGGTTTCATAGATAGTCAGACAGTCAGATAGTCAGTTAGTGAATTCAGTTGTCTTTACTTTTCATTTCATATGTTAAGACTTGAGTTGCCATTTTGGCCAAGTTGAATGTTGACTATTAAACATTCTAAGTTATTTCATTAGTTAAGTTGAGTAGTGTGTTATTGATCTTTATAAATATGCATATAGTCTTCCGCTGAGTTAGTAAGCCAGGCCAAGGGTTCGCTTGAGGCCAACAATGGTCTTCGAGTGCCAGCCACGTTCAGGGTGTAGGCTCGGGGAGTGACAGACTCCTTACTAGCTATATAAAAATAGATAAGAAAGAAGAAAGTAGTGATTGATCATAAAATGATCTTAAATGAAATTAATGATTCTATAAAGGGAAAAATGATAAATATACCCCCGATTTATCGTAAATGGCATGCAGATATCCTCTGTCATACTTTTAGAACATTGGTTCCCCTTCCGTCCAAAAAGTAGAGCATATAGACCCTTTATACTAATGGACATACACGTGTCATAATCTTATCCACCGATCCGACATTTATTAAATACCGGATCAACGGATAAGATTGCGCCACGTGTCCCTATTTAGTCTTCCGTTAGAGTGAAGGGCATATATGCTCTAGTTTTTGGACGGCAGGGGCACCAATGTCCCAAAAGTATGACGGAGGATATTTGCATACCATTTACGATAGTTCGGGGGGTATATTTGTCCTTTTTCCCTTCTATAAATAATACTTTACATTTTATTCCTCTATTAATTTTTATTATTGAAAAAATTAATTATATTATATCATGATACAACTTCTATAAGATACTAGATACTTTCATTAGACAATAACTATATGATATGTTTGCGGCAGAAAAAAGGAGAAGACTACAATTCCACAAAGATAAGGTAGAAACTTAATGAAATGAAATATTTTTCACCATGTGTGATGTTATTCATATATTAAAATTAAATTATTCTACTGAAGCATATATAACCATCATTCATGATAACATCCAAATACACTTTTTTGATAAAATTACCTCTCTATGATAGCCGTACTCAAATATTTATAGGGTAATAATATTTTGTAAAAGATATGTTACATATAAAGATAAAATATTGAAATACTTATGGTAATCCTTATTAGTGTTATGCACATACTAAATTTCAAGTATGAATATTTAAGACACAATCTGTACTTAAACGGTGTACATCATTTATGTTCATAACCTCAAGAGGAAATGTTATTGGTGATAATTTGTTGAGTGGATATTTTTTTTTCTATTTTGTTGGTTAGATTTGTTTACAAAATTGTGAGTGAAGTAAGAAATAATATTATTAAAGAAATGTCACTTTCTTCCATATTTAAACTTTGAATGTATTTTGAAATGTTTTAATGAAATCTGGTCATTTTGATTCTCAAAATACAAGTAACTCAATGCAATATGCATTAATAATTTAAAAACACTTGTCCTATGTTGGTTCAATTATAATTATTTACTAAAAAGCTTTAATTTAGTAATATTAATTCTATTTTACAACATCATATACTATATATACGATACACACGTGCAAAACACGTGCCGTAAAACTAGTTTTATTATAAGCGAGATCACCTAAGTCATTGGACTATACTTATCTCACCAATAACTACATTTCGAAATGGGTTTCTTACCAATAATTGTATAGCTGACAAAAATAATTTCAACAAAAATGTTTGCATGTATATGTAATATATATCGGTATTGTATTAATAGATATGTAATGTATCGATATAATTGGTATACATAATGTATAACTATGTATGAGAAATGTTATACATCCATATACATTGGTTATACATTGCAGCCGTTCATATTAATTCCTCAAGGAGATGATTTTTTTATCACGATCAACTCAAATCTCTTCTAAACATGAGTTACAAATTTTAGCTATAAATTCCTTTCGATATTTCAAATCTTTTAATATATTATTTACTCTAAACGATTCTCTTTTATGACATATATATAATTTTAAAATTTAAGCTTCCAAACTCTTTAATGACGAATTGTTCCATTTTTATTTCTCATGCTCTTTCTTTCTTTTTCTTTTTCCATGGTTGCTTTTTCAAAGCAAAACGAAAGAGTGTCAAAAAAAAAAGTGCAAACTTATACTTGAGCATTAAGAACTAAGTGGACAAGTCAAATTTCAGCCACTTTGAAAGAAAACAAAACAAAAACACTAACCAATATTAAAATAAACAATTCATTGCAAATCCATGAATTTAGTGTAACATGGGAAATGTGACAACTTTGCCCTTATTGCACCAATCGAAGAAGAAGAAAAGTTTTGTGAAAATGCATTGCGATACTCTTTCCTATGCAATCCGTCCAAACATATTTTTATATTAGTAAAATTTAATTTTAAAATGCGCATATCCTTTATGAAATAACTTCTAGCCCCACAAATATCTCTGGATCATTTTAGATCACAAGTTTTAAAAGTCTTTCTTTCTTTGTTAAATTTCGTGTCAAGTCAAACTAACTCATACTCCATGCGTTCCTATTTATATATCAGCATTTTAGATTTCACGTGCATTAAGAAACTAAAAAAGTTTACTATTCTACCCTTATTTATTTATTTATTTTTAAAGCAAAATTTCAGTCAATGAACCTTAAATAATTTATTTTGATTAATTAATTTGACCAATAAACATGAATTATTTACTTAATTTTTCTATGTTAGCCAAATATTTTTTCAAGGCTAATAACTCACAGGGGTAAAATAAGAAGAATAATATCATTTATGCATTAGTTTTGTGAAATGACAAATATTAAGAACCATCTAATTTCAGTAAGAGCAATATATAGATAAGAATGGATCAGGGAGTATAAATTGAGACGGAGAGAGTAATAAATAATAATCAAGTTATTTTGAGTAAGAAACTTTGATCCAATGAAAATTGTCTAATTTTCCCTTTCAAAATTGCATCAAGAGTACTCCTTAACTAATTACAAAACAAAGACAATTAGAAAAAACTGTTCTTATTCACTTTCCATCTAGCAATAATTCTATAAAAGAAATATTATATTGATGAACTATAGTAAAAAGAGAGGAAAATATGTCTATTAGTTATCCTAAGGTATATGATACAACTTAGATGGTTTAAGTCCCCTAGTAACATTGAAATAATTGAGTGTATGAATCCACTTCTCTTGATTCTTTAGAAGATGAACTGCAATGGTGTCTGGCCATAGTTCATGCGTGCATCGCGTAGGCGGCTCAGGATAATTGTACATTGACCATTTAGCATTGTACCTATGTCTAGCTCGATGTCCATCTCGTAACCACTCTCCAAATACCTTATCTTCTGGTCCTTCTAAATGAGTTTTTGGAATATCAGATTGTTTTATCCATTCAACTATATCCCAACTCACTAAATAACCCATTCCTGACATGTAATGTACAAAAGGGTCCATACTAGGACATGGTATAACATAACCATAGTACAAATCTTCCCTAGGTAATGGCCTTAAAGATTGTACAAAATTTTCAAGACGTATATACGTATCATCATCCGTTTTCATCACGTAATGATAAGGTGGATAATAAAGTTGGTCATAAAACATTTCTGGTAAGCTTGAAAAATATGTATATGTCTTACCTTTATTCATATTTTCTTGACAATTGAGGATGATAATATCGTCGTAACGCATTATTTCAAGTGCTACTAATACTTTTTGATCTTCTTTTGTTAAGTTGCAAAAAACAAACTTTATGTCAATTTTTGCACCTATTATTGGAGATTGTGTACCATAGATTAGACGTAAGAAGTGTCTCTTTTGGTATTGATCGGGAAGTGTTAAGATTCCTATGAGAATTCGGATTTCGTCGTTATTGGTTGACAATGTAGATGAATTTATATCAAGAATGTTTTTTGTAGAAGAATGAGTAATATTTGTTTGAGAAAAAGCACATCTACTGAACTTTAAAAAGCTATCGAATCGAATTTGGTTGATTGAAGCAATAATACAAAGGAAAATAATGAAGAAAAATGAGGAAATGATGAAACGTTGGCTATTTGGTTTGTATGTTTTCATGGTAACATGTAAAGCAAAATTTTGTGAAGAAAAGAAGTTGAAGAGGGAATATTTGAGAGAATGAGTTGGGAGATTAATGGAAGACATTATTTCAATGTGAAAATTAATTAGATATCATAAAGTGTACAATATTTGCTTGAGTTTAAAGATTTTAGTTGGCTATATCGTGTTACTCAGTCTACCACTTTTGACTTTTCATCATGTGGACAAAATAAAATAAAAATTAGGATACAATCCATTATATATCTCTCTTCCCACTACGATACTCAGTGCTTAGAAAAAAATAAAAATATTCCATCCGTCTTATTTTTTTGATGACAAAGGAAATCCGCAGTCGCTATCTTTTGGATGCGCACAAGGTAAAACCTCTGCTCCTATGCAATAGCTCACAAACTATATAGGAGAGGTAACTCGCACTAAGCAAGTCCAGCACGACGAGCTCGACCCAGAAGGCAAACCCCTTGCTTTCGCTGGTAAAGAGTTTCGAACTTGATACCTCCAACATGGAAGTCCCAAGCCCAAACCACTAGGCCACCTCGAAGGGTCCATCCGTCTTATTTTATGTGTCATTTTTATTATTTAGTCCGTCTTAAAAAAATGTTATCTTATTATTATAAAAAATAATTTTCTTACCTGAATGAAATTATATACAATCATTTAACTACATAAATAATTATTAAGGGGTCACTGTCTCTCTAAGTTTACAATAAATTCATTTTCATTTTAGTTTATTTATTTCAGTTCTGTTTTATTTGCAAGACATTTTGGATTCTTTTATATTAGTAAACTGATTAGTGGTTCTTTGCGCCTTTTTTTTTTAATGAAGGGGTCAAATTTGTAGTGGTGTTAGAATTTTCTTTAAAGGGTTTAAAATATAAAAAAGTAAATCTACGAAAAAGTTCGAGAGGTGGTTTAATACCCATTATATATATAAAAATAATAATTTATTAATGTATAAAAAATATAATTTTCTGTCAAAGTGGAATCGGTGTATTTTATATGCTTTGTGGGAGGGGGGGAGGGGGAGGGGGTTGCCTTTCCGTGGGTTGCAATTTAGAGGTGGCTGTACTTTGCAGTCACATGCATGCATGTATTCTATCTTGGCGGAAGGTGTTATTGAAATTGGCCTAACTTTAGCCTCACTTCACATTTGGCTTGCTTGCATTTTTAGTCAAATTGTCAAATGTATTTGTACTACTTTGTTTGGTATTTTTGCATGACATGTTACTACTATTTGCCATACTTTTAATTAATTTCAAGACGTTTACTATTTCAAATCAATTCACGTCAAATTAGGAGAACAAAAAAAAGAGGGATTTGTGCAACACTTTTTAACTGTTTATACAAACTTGATCTCATACAAACGGAATCCCTAAGACATAAGCAGAGGAAAATATTTTGTATAGAACTGATCTAGTTGAGATGTTATAGCTAATTTTGTCTACCACGCTAGATTTGTAAACTTGTGCAAAACTTGTATAGTTTATGTCAAAACCTTAATTTTTGCGAAACAGCTATTGAAACAATGGATCGAGCTTAACCTCCCTTAGATTTGTAATTTTATTCATCGATTCTCATTTACACACTGTCCAACCCCGTCCAAATGAGACTTTCCAAAAGCATTCACAATGTACTTGTGATCAATTAACAAAAATAATATAAAAAAAAAATACAGTTTTGATTACACAACTTGCTCTGATTTTCTGATTAGTGGTTATTTAATAATGGATCACTTAAGAAACCTATCAGATATTTTCTTGTAAAGATGATCGCAAATTCGTCAACCATGAATTGGTTTTGGTTTATTGAACAGTGAGTGTAATGATTTGGTCGGTCATTCTTGGAAAGCTTCGTGATCTTACCGTTGTTCCCCTCCCAATATCGACCCCGAGTCTTTTATGATTGAGTTTTGAAAGTTGATTTCGAACTTTGAGTTTAAAGTTGAGAATTTTGTAAGTTTTGAGTTTGAAAGGCTAATTTTGTTAAGAAAGTGATTTTCGGTGTCTTTTAGAGTTTCGAGGATCGGAATGGAATTCCGTCGATTCTATCATCCCAGAATGTGGAATATGGTCTGTGAGAGTTGTCGGTTTTAGATTTGGAGTCTTTTTTAGGATTTGAGGTCCTAAGTTGTGAAATCATAGAAATTTAGCCTTTGGGTTGACTTTGGTCAACATTCGGGGTTCGGATGCTCAGATAGAAATTCCGAGAGTTCCGTTGAATTCAAGGGAGGATTTTAGGCTTATGTGAGGTCTTGGTTGATTTTTGAGAGGTTTCGAACTTGTTTTAGTCTTTTTAGATGTTGTGTTAGTTTCTTGTGATTTTAACAGATGTCGGGTCAATGAGACCTCAAATTCATGTTTCGATGGTTCTATTGAGTCTGGAACGTCGAGTATGATTGATTTGCGTATGTGGTTTGTGTGCACGGGGCTTCAAACGAATCCCGAGAGTCCTTTTGATATTTTGAGAGTTGGCTTATTTTTCTGATGCTGGTGTGCTTTGCTTTCGCGAAGGGTGACTCGCAATCGCGATGTTTGCGAAAGCTAGACCCTGGTCGTGAAAGAGAAGGGTCTTAGTTAAGCGGGGTTCTCTTAAGTGAACCATGGGTCACGATTGCGATATTTGTGAAAGTGAACCCTGATTCGCGAAAGTGAAGGTCTCCACTTTTGCGGGGTTCGCTTTTGTGAACCCAAGGTCGTTTTTGCGACATCAGAGAGAGTTTATGTCTGAAAATTTTGGGGTTCAAGCCCCATTTTTCATTTTTGAGCTTGGCAAAATCCTTGGAGGCGATTTTGAAAGGATTTATTGTGTTAAATCATTTGGGTAAAGCTTTTGTGATCCTAAAACTTCATTTCCTTTTGATTATTTATAGATTTTAACATCAAAATTTGGGATTTTGATAGGTAAATGACAAGGTTTTTCAAGAACTCAAGCTCTAAACTAAAATATAGATTATGAACTGATTTTGAGTCCTTTTTCGAAATGGTTTTCACCAATAAGTTCCTAAGGCCTTCAGTAACATTTTCAAGTATTGATTTCGGATTCAAACTTTCTTTTAGAAATCGATTTTTGAGTGGATTGACCCATTTTTCAAAGAAATTGATGTGGTAATGTTGTTTCCAAAAACATATTGTGAATACTTGATTGATATATATTGTGTAGCTTTGAACATTAGTCAGAAGAGAAAAACTCAACTCTTCTAGTGAGTTATTGATCGATTTAAGACAAGTGATCGCCTAAATCTTGTGTTCTAGTAGAATTCGTGTATTTCCTTCACTGTTTGTGTATTGGGAGTAATGAAAATGAGGTGAAGCGTTATTTCTGCACTTGATAAATTTTAATGAACAAAAAGGGGTTGAAATGAAACAGTTATGTGATGATCATAATGTTTGTGAATGACCTTGTTGTAAGCCTTAATGATTGATTGATGAAATACTTGAATTGCATAAATTGTTGTCTCTTCTGTGTGTTGTGATATTGCATGTATTGTAGTCCTGGGTTCACTCTTGCTAGCTGGGCGGCTTAGGCCCATGGGAGTGGACTGGCTGAGTGGCCTAGATTGATTGTCACTCTTGCTAGCTGAGTTGGGAGTTGACTGGACTTGATGGTTACTTGGGTTGGGAGCCCGACTTTCAGTTCGTGGTACTCTTCCTTAGTAGACTTAGCTATTCTGTGTACCTATTAGGCTTATGGGGTCCGTTCGTGTTTTACTTTAACTTGTGCACGAGTAAACCTTCTGAGCTTATGGGGTCCAGTTAGGTTCAGTTAGCTATACTTAGATTTACTTTTGGTGTGCTCGTGTGCTTTCTTTTCATACTCGCTTTGACCTCTGTGTGTCTAGATTCTATTTTTTCAGAGTGTTTTTACCTTTCTTTTACCTCAGTCAGCATTTGATGCCTATTAAATACCCTTGTTTTGATACTTATGCTACTCTCTTTATCTTTTTTTTTGTGATGCAAGTCCTAGTACTAGCTACCAACAATGATCGATCGTGCCATCTTTTGCACCTTGTGGATATCAGAGACGAGGGTGAGTACTTGGCGTTCTGGATCAGCCTGTCTCATTCTATTTATATATTAGCTAGCCTTTTGCTTCTGAGACGGCTTATGGTGGTCCACTTTTGAGACTTGTATTTATTTATATTAGACAGCTCTGTACTCGTGACTTAGAGGTTCTAGGAGGGTTTCTATATATATATATATATATATATATATATATATATATATATATATATATATATATAGTTTTTGGTTTGCTTCCATTTCTGTCTTTTCTTATTGCTAGTGCTATTTTTAGTTAGTTCTATCCTTGTACTCATTACTTGTCGTTCTGGCTACGGATTGCCTTCCCTACTTGTGGATTATAGTAGGTGTCATCATGACTCGAGAAGTCGGATCGTGACATTTCTGATGGATGATCAATTAAAAATGGGAAAATGCATAAGTACCCCCCAGCCTATGCCCGAAATCCCAGAGACACACCTGACCTTTACTAAGGTCCTATTACCCCCCCTCCCCCGAACTTAATTTATCTATAATATTCTACCCCTTTTCTGCCTACGAGGCACTATCTTGAAAAAAGTGTCAACATGCACTGGGCCCACAAAGATAGTGCCACATAGGCCAAAAAGGGGTAGAATATTACATATAAAATAAGTTCGGGGGGATAATAGGACCTTAGTAAAGGTTAGGTGTGTCTCTGGGATTTCGAGTATAGGTTGCGGGGTACTTATGCATTTTCCCATTAAAAATTGTTATTTCTTCCTAATCCCCTTAATTCAAACATCTAATCTTATATACTATGAAGTTTTTTCTTCATATATTTTTTGTCAAAGTTAAGAAATAACAAATGATTCAACAACAAATGCTAACAAAAAATGATAACCAAGAAAGAACATAGTGCTAACCTACAATGCACAACACCAGCCAGCAGTCCAGCATCAAAATAGCATATCAAAGACTTTTTACTTCACCATTGTAGACTCAAATTCCACCTGATATATAAAACATAATTTTCATGCGAACAAATATCGCTTGACACCCCTCAGGGAAAATGTAGCTTCACCCCTGCTTGCAACATGCTCAAAGGAAACA